CGTGAGCGATTAATGGGATGAGGCTGAATAATAGATTAGTGTTACTAATTGTTCCATTGAGACAAACTTGGGACAAATTTCGGTTAGCTGAAAATATGTGTGTAGCTTAATGTCATTAGCACTGCTTTACGACGATTTGGGAATCGATTTCCGCTGAAGATGGAAGGTCGCTGTGACCAGGAAAAATGTATACGACATTTGCTAAGGACAGGCTGTAAAACTGTATCTGGGTGAACGAAATTCGTCCAAAACACGCCAAACTGGGATGACCAAGGGAATAACAAATGGCCACTCATGATGTTGTAATGTAGGAAAATCGGTCACCGGTATTATGCTGGTGTACACTAAGGCGATCGAGGTCACTCGCGCTGAACAGGTGGATCAGAATCATCAATATCATCTTCAATACACGTTAGCCGAGGATGATAAACGCACCTAAGTTCATGTGTCGCAGTACAGGAAACATAAGATATTAGACATTACAGAAAACAAAACTTAAGAACTAGCAATATATTGCTAAGTATCATATTGTGCATGTAGTGTGAGATCGTTATTGTAAGCGCAAGCTAAGATAGAAGAGGAGGGACAAAGAAACTTACGACAAGCGCCACTGAGGTCGGCTCCCCGCTATTTTCACTAATGTATCCAGGTGAACGTGTTCATCATCCTTGGGACCCCAGTCTGGCAGTAGGGAGACAACAATCGACGCCCACTTCGAATTGAGGGTTTTCACTCCTTTTGACTAAATTATCACTTGTCCCCCCCTAGACTTCTTCCACCCACAGCCTTATCGCGCAAACAACGCAAGACGAGGGAGTCAGTGGGCTGGGGTGCGCAACAGGTGGCCTAGCCATCAGAGCCTGTTGCTTGATTTAATGGTGCTGAATGGTTCATTCGTCTTTCCTGTGTCAAATAAGTGGTGTCAAATACGTGCATTGCTCACGCGGTGTTCCTATCAGACATGAGCTGAGCAGCGAAGGCAGCGATGGTCGAACGTAGGGAGCCACTTTACATCTATTGATCTGGTGGGCCAGGAATCCCAAGCGCATAGGAGGCGTGAAAAGACGGCTGCATCGTAAACTCAGTTCTTCAGAGCGAGAGTGATGTCGCGTCTGCGCCACTGGTGGGAGAGATTGGCAAAAACACGTCGATATTTTGCTATACCGTGCGTGATCTCATCTTCAATCCCACGGGTGCTAACTTATCTGCCAGGTACTCGAATTTCTGGACTTTTGCATGATCAGCACCAAGGGTCAGCGCAAGATGCGGTCCCTGCTAAGCTTGGAGAAGGGCATTACATTTTGATAGAGCAAAGCAAAGCTCAAAACGATTGACAGCCAGTCCTAAGTCGCCTAGTGTTGTATGGCACATATGGGAAGTGTCATAGATTAAGAAAATGTTGTCGGAATACTCCAAACCAACAAGTCGCTCACTAGGAAGAAGCTCAATATCCTGTAGGTTCCGTCAGGTGAACGCCGTTTTCATGACTTCGTCAATGGCGAAGTTAAATAGGAAAGGTGACGCGAGCATCTTTGTCTCACACCGCTGGAGACATCAAAGTGTGGCGCCAGCTTGCCATAGACCCTCACTCCACCCAAACTATGTACGTACAGCGCAAACAGGTTCATATGTTTGTGGGGCAGGCCTTTCCAGAGCAGGCAGCCTCAAAAAGCACATCGATTCAATGAATAGAAAGCACATTTGATGTCAAGTTCGAGCTAAGATGGGGCCGGAGCAATAGGATAATCTCGCGAATTTTTTATAAGTATTATTGAACCAGTAATTAATAGTTGAGTTTGATCGACTCAAAAGATAAACCGCGTCACACCCTGGTAAATGAGTTACTAACGATCGTCACAAATCGGCTGGCTCAGAGTACAATGTGACCAGATGGGCTATTAGGCGCGAACTAAGGTGGAGCCTATGTGATGACAAGAAAGCATGGTGGACCAGTAGCGCTCAAGAAATGGAGGAGGCAGGAGCAGTAGGCAAGTACCACAAACTCTTCCAGTTAATCCGCACCACTGGTCCCAGAAAACCAGGCGTCAGTGACACAATCAGAAACAGCGCGGGTGGGCTGATACACAATAAGGAGCGCCGTATGGCTCGTTGGGCGGAACACTTTCAAGATCAGTTCAGCTGCCACCCTGCTCCCGGACCTTTTCTTATTCAGATGATGCAAGACGAGACATGGATGGTTAGTTTAGAGTCTCCACCGGAGGCTGAGGTCCGAAACGAGTTCACAGCACTTAATCGTTTTCGTACCGCTGGCCCGGATTCCCTCCCACCTGCACTATTTAAGGATGGAGGTGAGGTCCTCTGCAAAGCACTGACCGCCCTATTCGAACGTATCTGGAAGGAAGTGAGTGATCCTGCTAGTTGGAGCGAATCGATTATAGTGGCAATATACAAGAAGGGCAGTCACACAGACTGTTCTAACCACAGGGGTATTAGCCGAAAGCCTGTTGTGACAAAATCACTGGACTTGATTCTCATTCGTCGCCTCACTGTGGAACGGGAATCTCGGATTAGGGAAGAGCAGGCAGGTTTCCGCTCAGGACGTGGCTGTATAGACTATACATTAACTCTGCGGCAGGTGCTAGAGTAGAGCCACACATACCGCAGACCGACAGTGTCTGTGTTCCTCCATTTCATGACTGCGTTCGATCCAATCGATCGATTCTGTCCGAAATCCTTTGTCGGAAAGGTGTTCCCACAAAATATGTGAACATCCTACGTGCTCTATACTCGAATACTGCAGGCCGCGTCAGGGTCTACGGTGGCCTATCGAATAGCTTTCCGATCACAAATGACGTCCGTCAGGGTTGTCCGATTTACACATTTTTGTTCAATTCCGTCGTGGATTCTATCATGGTGTGCCCTCACGGAATCTCACGATGTAGGCCTTTAAGCACTACCTGGTGAAAGAGTAGTTAATCATGAATATGCGTACGATATCGTCTTGATTTAGACGATGTTGTGGCAGCACAATCAACCCTGAATAGCCTGTCTAGAGTGGTCACATTATTTGGTATGCACTTCGCACCTTTGAAGTGCAAAGCATTGCTGCCGGACCACCAGCCACTTTATGCCCCCTTGACCCCTGCTAACGAGGAACTCGAAGTGATTGATCAATTCATTTATCTTGGCAGCTGCCTCAAAAACGATGGATGCATAGAAACTGACGTCAGCTCAAGCACTGCAAAGACCAGAACTGCGTTCTTGAACTTGCGGCATCTTTGGCGACAGAAGGGAAACTCTCTTCGTCTGAAAGGCCGTATATACAAGGCTACAGTGAGGGCCGTTCTGCTCTATGGTAGTGAGACTTGGCCCCTTCGGTCTGAAGATCTGAGGCACCTTCAAGTCTTTGATCATCGTTGTCTGCGAAGCATTGCTGGTGCCGGATGGCACCACCGTATCCGCAACGATGATGTGCTTAGGCGAGTAGTAGGTAGTGACAATCACGCAGCTCCCTAGAAGAACAAATAGCACTGAATAAGTTGCGTTGGCTCGGGCACGTGCAACGTAGGCCTGGTCACCGCTTACCTAGAAGGGGCTTGTTTAGTCTACAAGGTGTAGGGTGGCGCAAGGCTCGAGGTGGACAGAAGTTGACTTGGCAGTCGGAAATGAAGTCACTGACGACCAAAATTGGGTGTCGTCGGTCCGTATCGCCTTCCGGGCTGGAGTCCACGTGACTCGCCTTGTGCTTGGCTCGAGACTTTACAGGACATGGCTCGCAACCGACACCAATGGCGCGTCTGCTGCCGTCTCCTAATCGGATTGCATGTTTAAAGTGTGTTTGTTGCTGAGTTATCTGCGGGTTAGTGGCTGATTATGACGCGTGGCAGTGAAAGCCGCGAGGAAGCTGTCTCGCCGATACCGCCTTAGTATTGCACGATAGCCAGCTATGTGACGTTATGTTGCTAACACAAGGTGTAGGCGCCTTGACCCTGAACGTTAGCTTAGGGCATTAAGGTTTTCAGGCAAGTTCCCCTTATTTCCCTCTTATTATTCTTTATTCGTTAGGTCATCATGGTTGTATGGCAGCGAAGCATCAGTACAAATGGCTGATGTACTGCTGTTATTGATTGATTGATGTTTTCAGGGGTCGGACACGTGACACCCCGCATGGCACGAGTGACCGAAAAGTGCCCGCCGCAGGGACTGTTGTAGCCCCCTGTGTGGCCATGATTTGTGCCCGTGGTCACCCAATCGTATACCTATGGGATGTCTCCGGTCAATCATAATCCATTTTCCAACATCCCCCTACCATATACTGTGAATACATTTTTCCTGGTTGCAAATACTGTCAACATCAGGGGGAAATCAATCACGAAAATTGCAATTATGTACTAATTTAGCCGTTAGGCTAAACCGGAAATAGATTTGAGCGACATAAACTCGTCCCAAATGTGTCCAATTGGGATGGTTAATGGTACAAAATATTGGTCCCTCAGGGAGTTCAAACGGTCACTCGTGCTGACTGAAATTATGATTTAACTATAAAGTAAAGCTTTTTAGGTAAAGTACGGCAGTGCTAAAGAGCTATGATCTTATTTCTCAACATATCTAGACATACCACGCAATTTATTCTCCTATTTATTTTTGCCTCTGCGAGTGAACGAAAACGCACAAATGGGACGGCTGGCCGTCCATTGTGTGGAAAGGGACGTGCTAACTGATCGAAGCCAAATCGACATGACAGAGGAATGATATGCAAGAGTGAAATTCCATGCATAGGTATGTAAGAACCAGGTTCAGTCCTACCCAAGTCATGAAACGAAGTTAGAATCTGGATCAAGGCACAACCAATTTACACGGCTACGGTGAGTCACCAACCAACATCGCCGTGTTAAAACAACTGAAGTAAAGTAAAGATGCAACGGTACAATGTGCCACGAAATAAGGACAACATAACAACGTTACGCTAAGCTCCACGAGAGACAGTGTGACGAATACTGACGTTATTAGCAACAATCGCGTCACTGTAACAAACTTACTTCGAGCCGGACGTCGAGATTAACAACGTCATTTGAAACTAGTTTTAGAGCTTGACACAAAAATTTCTCAGCAACCAAGTATCCAGCTAGAAGAATAAATTTTTAGTTGTGGTTTACCATTTTCTGTGGTCTTCGACAGTGGCTACAAGGTCAGTAAATTTTATTATGGCTCACCACAACAATTCTGTACAAATATTTCTGTAACGAGGAATCAGAGTGTAGTGCTTCATCTTTAGTTATAATCTCAAAGCACATAACTGCAGATAATGCATAAGACTCTTTTACCCGACACCAAAATAATTGAGTCAAGAATTGGGTTAGACTGAAAGTCTACGGATGACAAGACCTCCTCAATCGTGGATAATACGCACTCTATTTCGTCCGAATTCAAGCTCTTCGAATTAGAAAGTTCGGTATGGAGCTGCAACCAATATTCACTTTGTGATAACCTAAATGGCGTATCATCAGAAGTGTTGGAAGCCATTTTGATAATCCCTCAACAAAACTTTGATTGTTTATCCGATCCGATATAACAATTTTCCTCCTTTTATGCGTGGTTCATTACTGTTAAGTAGCGCCCGTGCTAAATGGTGCTTCTTTTGTTTTATTCAGAATGTTTTATTTTATTTATATATGTATGACCAAAATTTCGTTCACACTTGATGATTGCGGCGACTTTATTCAAACTCACTAATATCCTGTGCTTCAGCGTACAATCAATGAACTCAAAAACATACTAGGCAGAACTGGGGCTGCTCTCCGTTAGTTTATCTTCCATGCTGGGATCAAATAAGGAACTGATTGGGGGCATATTTCCAAAGGGTTGCTGCACCGCCACATCGAGTTGGGACTCGGTTGTGTGTTGATCTGGGTTCTGACTTTGCTTCTTGGAGTAAGTAGACGTAAACGTGGCTCTTACGCACCTGTGCAGGGAATTTTACCGCAGCTTACCAACCCTAGATCACGTCGCGTTGACTTCGACTAATCAGCGCCTGCTATTGTGCCAACGCTGATATTCGGAAGCGGACATTTGTACCAATAAAGGTTAGTAAAGCAATTACTTACAGAGGAACGAGTGAAGCGGTGGTGACCCAGCCTACAGTCGGTCATGCAAGCGCCTGAATACTCTGGATTGCTCGCCAAAAATTTCACCCTTTTCCTGCTAGCCCAATATACATACTTCACACAGCATAGAGGGTATGCCCGGTACAGCAATATTCCTGTGTGAACAGCGCCTCCGCACCCCGCAAGGTTCTAAAGTTTATCTGTATTGGCATAGGTCAATCCGTGCAGGAAACCGCCGTATAGTAGCAGATATTGAGCCCCTCGCTAATATGTACGCAATGTGGTTACCATGTCTCAAGTATTTAACTGCTGCACCAGAATTAGATTCGAGGTTTGAGCAACGTCTACCGCTACAGAATTTGGCCTCTCCTTAAGCTCCGTGAATTGGGCGTTTAATGGCTTTTATAAGGAACATGTATACATGCCCAGGTTCACGATATCCCTCGTGCGCACAGATGGACGGTCGAGCGTCCCACTTGGAAGTCATTTTAGTCACGCGTAAAATAATAAACAGGTGTAAAGAAAACTTTGCGGTCAGTTTTGTTTTAACCTTGGCAACAAGGAATAGTATTTAATTAAGCTTACAGCTTGGATTATCGCCACACTGAACGTCTGTTTAACAGAACCAGAAAATCATACATCGGGCCTTTTCTCGCCATTGATATCGCGGTGAAGTTTGTGGTCACACCACGCTGTAGCATATGCAGATGCACTTGTATTGCGCGCCAGACAAATTTGCCGTTTCTTTCATTTGCAGGATGGTCCGCTGCAGTAGGATATATGGATGAAGCACCCCAAGGAGAAAATTTACCAGGCACTTGACCTTGTTTAGCTTCTGCTTCCTACTCCCGATTGACATGACTTTGTACACGCACGCAGGCTTGCACCTCGCTTGATCGCTGGTACCTCGTTGTTTCTCTTGCGCTGCCCTTGAGTGTTGAAATAAAATTCAGCCCACTTCCCTTGTCTTTCGTACTAAGTGGTCGTGCTACGTTGTCTAGACATCTACGTGGCTCCGCAGGTCTGTTGCAACCTTTCGGATAACGAAGTGTCCGGACTCTCGCGTTCGTGCATTTTCCATTCGCAGACGTCGAGGACCTTGTACTGGTGACGCTCGGTTTAACGTCTATCGACTCTTGCTTAATGACGTACCATACCGTAAAGCATCGAAATGCCACATCCGGTACGTACGTGTGCCTTTGGTTAACGGCAATTCAGACGTTTTCCTGATCAGGCCCGGCTTTCCAGATGGCTTACAAATGTTTATGGTACTTCCACACAGCGAGTTATGGATTCCGTGGACATGGTTCGTTCTGGTCCACATAATTTCCAAGCGCAATCTTTGGAGTCGATTATTGGAAGGCGGACTTTCTCAACGTGTAACATGCTTTAGGATGTTTCTGCTAAGGTACCACCTGTGATATCAAGACCACAGTGGTTAAACACTACTGCAGTCGGCCGCAGTATCGCGATTAATGGATAGTTACCAGCTCGAACGTGTAACCTGATGTTTCGGAGCCTACGTGAGTTGCACCCTGAATTGTCGTGCGATTGTCGCACATTGCTAGGTACACAACTAGGATGCACGGTTACCGGTTTTAAGGGTGGCGAGTAAGTGCACGTTGGACGGATTACAGGAACAGACCGCGTATTGCAAAGCAGTGCTGCTATGTTCATGTCGAATGTGCAACTGTAGCCACACATATATGGACTTACCCTGTTTCACAGTGCGCGTAAACAACTGTGACCTGTCTTGGCTAAACTCACGGATCCGCTGTCGTCCGTTTTCCTAATCGGATTGCACTTCGGCTCATCGAAACTTGAAAATGTAGATAAGTTTTGCTGACCAAGTATCGCTGTGCTGGTAGATGGTATGCACCCAGGAATCCGTCTAGCTCCCGTGGGTCCTTTGGTGGTACTTACCTATAATTGTGTGATTGCGGATGCTCTGCTCGGGCATCGGTCTGACAAGTAAAGCAGCATTATGACTGCTACGCATTCGAGAAATGTACCGTTATTGGTTAGTTTCCACTTTCGTTAGCAGTTTGATAAGTTCCTACGGGTGTTTGTGTAGATGGTCGCATTATTTGCCACTGGACCCGGGTAACATATTAAGGAACGAAGATTTCTGTCTGCGTCTTCAAAAAGAACATCACATTGGTGATGCTATCTGGGGCGCTTCGCGGCTGTGTACGAGGACGTGGTTGGTTCTGGCCTGGCAAGCGTTTCCCCTATAAAAAGCCACAGATATCTGCTTAACAGCACTGTCACGTGGCGGATGTGACTCCCGACTAAATAAAGTCACTGCTGTTGCTTACTCGGACAACCTTAGCAAATCCATGGATGTCAAGCATTTCCTTAGACACTGACCATTTGATCGAACTCATTCAAAAGAACAGCAACACGTGTACAAACAAAAGCGACACACCTAGCTACATGCCTACACTTAAGGATCCATATGTATGTGAGTCTTTTCGTACTATTGCACATTTCTTGTTCAATTTTTGCACTTTTAAAATGACCATGCCTTCATTGGTTTGCGGCGCGTGGCCGAGAACAAAATTTATTTATTTATTTACGTTCCTCTTGATTGCATGCACATGGTTTGTCTTGGGTTCTTGAGGCGGTTGTTTAATTTGTGGCGCAAGGGCCCCACATCCGCCAAGGTGCGCTTGTCTGTTATGCATACATCGGATAGTAACTCCCGGATAAAGCAATGCCGCTATCCTCTGACGGTATATTTCCCCAGAAAGAACCCAATTTCGTAGCTGCTGACCGCTGGTACTCCACAGAGTATCGACAGTTCTTGCTGTACATTGGCACTGTTGTGAAGCGTAGTATATTGCACTCTACGACAGATGAGAACTTCTTCAGCTTTTCCTTGGTGATGTAGGTGTTGGGTTACAAAAAGTGGTGAAAACATTATTACCCTGTAGCACAGCCAATGATTCCTAAGACGGTTAACAAGATTGTTGAGACCCATTGGCGCCAAGGCTTAGTGTTTAAGGTCTATTGCTCACTGTTTTGTGTTATGACGTGCGTGAATTTGGACCACAGGACCTTTATCCCGTTTTTCCATTGGAGTTGAATCTTCACAAGTAGCCCCGTATTGTTCATAGTCCACGTAAGCCGACGTCTCAGGTGTTTCGGCGAGTTGAGAAACCTGCGCATTCGCAACTACAGTAGGACGGCTACTTTGCTGACACATACAACACCCCAAAGTCACGACGCCCTTGTGTTGTGAACAAAAGTTCCCCGCAGTGTTTTCGTTGCGTCAGATGCGCATCCAGACAGCGTCGTAATTTTGGCAACAGACAGCCAGCGATTGTCGGCATTCGCAATACACTGGTGTGGGTGTATAATTATGCGAGAGTAGAGCCTGCTACCGGAAATTTATTCCTTCTGATCATCTGTGGATGTACATATGCTTTCGATTTCAGTTCAGACAACGTTGGATCTCCATTGATTCCGTCCAACGCAAGTGTTTCTAATTTCCGGAAACCGAGGAGGTAAAGGCGTTCTATCCCATTGCTCTTACTTGGGGTAGAAACGCGGCTCGTAACTTTCATTTCATATAAACTGGTTTCATAATGTCTTATTTCAGACTATAGGGCTATTTATTTGCGTGCAGCTAAAGGTGTATGGTGCAGGCAACTCACAGATGGTGAGTTGCAGGGTGACACGCTTCTTTACACAGAGGCGCCGGTAGAGGACTGAGTGTCACGGTGTTTTGAAGTTCCGCACTGAAGCCTTTTTTGAGTCCGTGTTAAGTGCAATTTCCTTGGGTAATTAAAGTTACTATGTGCAAGTAATAAATAACCAAATATGTCATTCTCGATATCAAGGAAGCACAGCTTATCAGGCGAGATAAATTTTTACGGACAAAGTTTCGCATATGACACATTGGGTTGTATGCATAAATGGAGAACGCACACGTAAGGAAAACATCAAGAGTGAAGTGGCAAGTGTTTGCGTTAATGTGGACGTAACCTATTGTGGAAATTTGCAGGCTTGCGTTTATTATGTTTGGTAATCATATAAACTATGGCAGGTTGACCAGTAACACACCAGAATTGTGCGTCCGTATATTGCGTGTATGTGTTAGTGGGCATTGTGAACAAAAATGTGCAGTGTGAATGGTTTCTTGAGTTTGCATGCTGCCTTGGCTATCGAAAGAAGGGTCAATAAAAAGCTTTGAATTGGATGACGTCTGGGAAGTGAAGATTCACCGAAATGCGGAAGAGGCGGTGACTTTATTTAGTTGCAGGTCACATCCGCCAAGTCGCAGTGTTGTTAAACTGACCTTTGTGGTTTCTCGTATGGAGAAGGCTTACCAAGCGAAAACCTACCACTTCCTGGAGCACTGCTGCCGAACTATGAGCTGGACCGTGATTAAGGCCAACAACCCAGCGTAAACCAAGGGAAAAACGTTTGGCAGG